TGACAAACTAAACTTCATTAAAATTAAAACATTCTTTTCTTATCAAAAGACACCATTAAGAAAATTAAGCCACACACTGGGAGAAAATATTTGTAAATATATAACCCTGACAAAGGACAGGTGCAAGGTTAACTTTACCCAAAAATTTTGGTCTCTGTTCTTGGTTACTGAGATAAACTCTAAAACCTTGGAATTTTCCCAGTGATTGAAGTGTCTTTTATCTTTAAGGGCTCTAGATCAAACCTGACAGGTTATGCTAATGAGGTGACTCAGGTGGGGGCTGTTTATTCCAGAAAGACCCAACTGGTGATATCAGCTGACCTCAGGAGAGGGGTCAAGATCCAATCAATCATACCCACATAATAAAGCCCCAATAAAGGTCTGGACACTGAAGCTCTATGGGTTTCCTGGCTGGTGATATATGTTGCTGCATGTGGGAGGGTAGCTCATTCCTTTTTAGGACGTGGAAGCTCCATACTGGGCACCCTCCTAGACCTTGCCCTATGTGTCTCTTCATTTGTATATTTTTGTTATAATAAAACTGTAATACTAAGTATAGTGCCTTCCTGAGTTCTGTGAATTATTCTAACAAATTATTGAACCTGAGGGAGTAGTGGGAGCCAGCAGGTCAGAAGTAAGGGAATCCTGAAAACCCCTGGGCTTACAACTGGTATTCTGAGAGCGTAGAGGAAACCCTCAAATAGCAAGCACATTGGAAGTGAGGGTGTCATGGGGGCCCTCAAGCTTGCAGCTGGCAAATGAGGTCTTGGGTAGACGTGGCAGTCTGGAAGACTGTGCCCTTTAACTTATGAGGTCTGACCTAGCTCTGAATGGTGAGAGGAAGAAGTACTGCATGGGCTGTTATTGACAGAGATGGAACAGAATCAAAACTGATAATAGATTTGATTTGATCCTTAGAGTTTGGTGGCAGAGAAGTGGGGTTTTATTTTTCTCAGCAACATGTATCCAGAATACATAAAGAATTTTTACAAGTTATTAACAGAAAGAAAAATAATCCAATTTTTTTTAAAAGAGAAATACCTTGATAAGACAGAAAAACTAGTCACACACAACATGATTGTGTATGTAGAAAATCCTAAGGAATCTACCAAGGGCAAACAAACAAATAAAAAAACCCTACTAACTAACTGACAGAAAATATACAAATGGCCAAGAAGCACATGATCAGTACTCAACATCCTGGAAATGAAAATTAAAGCCACCACTATGCCCTCACTGAAATGGCTAAAAATTTTAAAAACTGACAATATCAAATGTTAGCAAACCTGTGAAGCACCAGGATCACTTACACATTGGTGGTGATAGTAAAAAAAAAAAAAAAAAAAAAGGTACAATCACTTTGGGAGACAGTTTAGCAGTTTTACCAAAGAGAAATGAAAACAAATGTCCACAAAAATATCTGTACATTAATGTTCATCAAAGCTTTATTCATAATAGCCCCAGACTGGAAATATCCTAAGTGTCCATCAAAAGGGAATGAATAGAAAAATTGTGGCATATTAACACAATGGAATACTAATTTGCAATAAGAAGAAATCTACTGACATACTCAGTAATCTCTATGAATCTCAAAAACACTGCATTAAGCAAAAGAAGCCAGACATTAAAGAAAATATACTGTATGATTCCATTTATATCAAGTTCAAGAAACAGCAAAACTAATCTATGATGATAGGAAACCGAACAATGGTTGCCTTTGTGGTAGGAGGTGAAGTGGAATTAACTGGAAACAGTCACAAGGAAACGTTTTGGGATAATGCAAAGGTTTTATATCTTCATTGGGGTGGTTATTACATGGTCATATACATTTGTTAAAAAGCTTATTGAAATATGTACTTGAGATCTATGCATTTGATGCAAATTACAACTCAAAAATTTCAAATTAAAAGTTAGAAAAATATTTTAAACATATATAACAAATGAAGAATTATCCTTAATATGTACAGAATGTTTATGCATCAATAAAAAATGTACAGGTCAGTAGAAAAATAAAAGCCATGAATAGATATATTTACAAAAGAAAACTGGTAAATAAATGTAGGGAAATGAAAGAGTTTTTATTAGTGAGATATTTTCAGTGTAAAAAATATTTTGTAAAATAAAGAATAATGTTGGCAAGCTATGATATGTAGATGACACAACCTTGCTTGTCGAAAGTGAAGATGACTTGAAGCACTTACTGATGAAGGTCAAAGACTACAGTCTTCAGTATGGATTATGCCTGAACATGAAGAAAACAAAAATCCTCAAAACTAAACCGATAAACATCATGATGAATGAAGAAAAAATTGAAGTTGTCAATTATTTCATTTTGCTTGGATCAATAATCAACGCCATGGAAGCAGCAGTCAAGAAATCAAATGACATATTGCACTGGGCAACTCTGCTGCAAAAGATCTCTTTGAAGTTTTAAAACGCAAAGATGTCACTTTGATGACTAAGGTGCTCCTGACCCAAGCTATGGTCTTTTCGGTTGTCTCATATGCATTTGAAAGCTGGACAATGAAAAAGGAAGACAGAGAATTGATACACTGAAACTGTAGTGCTGGTGAAGAATACTGAATATACCACAGACTGTCAGAAGGACAAACAAATCAGTCTTAGAAGAAATACAACCAGAATGATTTAGCGGCAAGGATGGAAGACTTCAACTCACTTACTTTGGACACATCATCAGGAAAGATCAATTACTAGAAAAGGATATCATGTTTGGGAAAGTGGAGGGTCAGTGAAAATAAGAGAAACCATCAATGAGATAGAATGACACATAGCCACAACTGAGCAATGTTTTGTTCTGTTATACATAAGGTCACCATAAGTCAGAGCCAACTCAACGGCAACTAACAAAAACAAACAATGTTGGCAAGGGTGCAGTGAAAAAGGCAGTCCAAATAATGCAAGTGAATATGTAAATCAAAATTACTTTTTGGTGAACATATTTTGAAATTTTATATGAGTCACTTCAAAAATGTCCATACGCTTGATCCAATAATTTTACTTCTAGGATTTTTATTCTCAGAAAATAATCAGAGATTGAAAATGATGGGAGGGAGGGACATATTGGTAGAATGACCTCATATATTGGGACAGCAAGCCAGACAAAGCCATGTGAGATATCCAAAGTTCAAGTGGCTAGTACTCAAAGATATGAAATAAGAGTCTTAAGAGTTAACAATTTTAAAATCCA